CTTTTGGTTTATATACAAAAGACCAAGTAAAAATGATACTGGAAATGTACACTTTCTTATAGCTAAACATCATTGCAGATTTATAATCTTCATTATTGTTTATGTGTATTTCATCTGTGTTGCTAATAACATTGCCAGTTTTTATGATTTTATGTTGTTAAGTAAAGCATCATTATTTATCAGGCTAAAATAGAGCTTTGATTAATAGTTTTATCGATTTTAAATGAGTAGCAACTCTCAAGGTGTATTAGCTGAATTATAATAGCTGTTTTGATAGACTTTAGTCAATAATAGATTTTTAAATTGCTATGAGTCCACAACACTTAATTTCAGCAAAATTCAATTAAAAAGTCACGTCATAGAAGACAGAAAAACATCAATATCTGTTATCAATAACTTGCCTTTCATAGCAAATCTGAGAGATGCAAATGCTAAGCTTGGTTTAAGTACTACATATTAAAATAAATAGTTATACAGTCATTTTGAAGGTCGTAAATTTCTTTAAACACACTCATTTTTATATATTTTTAGACTGTTTATTGTTTGACTCCTGTCCCAATCTAACCTAGTGGGTTCAAAAAGAAACGACCGCGCTGGAAACATAAAGGGGTTAAAAGGATCAGCCCTTTTTGAATTAGTAGTCGGTAAGTCTAATCTGTTTCACTCAGTTTATCAAGTTTCATTTGCTTTTTTATATTAAATTCAAGGAATAGACTGTTTTTTATATTCACTTGTTTTTTAGAAGTCGTAACCAGTATGAAACTCGTATGAAAGGATTTCTCGACGTGAAATTAGTTAATTTTATTCAACAACGCCAAGAAACAGAGCTCGCTCAAGAAACAGAAAAGAAAAAGAAAGATGAAAAAATATTCTGTTGAACAATACTGTCTTTTTATTTATAAACTATTCTCCTATATTTAAACATATAAACGATGTGTAAAATGCTTCCTCTTTTATATTGACATCTAAAAGAGGTTTCTTTCTCGGCATCGGAAAGAGCTTTTTGTATGAAGAGCTATAATCATTTTCATTTGATAAAAGCAATTTTTCATATATGAAAAGTAGGAATACTATAGTGTAGGATACTATAGTATACTAATAAGTATGACAAAAAAATTCGTTCCGACCCTGAGATAAAAACTTTTTTAGAAGTGCATAATTGATAAACGAAGACGTCTTAAAGACGCATTTTTTATGTCTTTTCATGACAAGATAAAGACAAAAAAACCCGCCTTTTTCGATGTCGAAAAAAGATGTCTTTTAGATTTGCATATTCGACTAAAAATAGGCGCCTTAAATACGCATTTTTTTATGTTTTTTTATGACAAGAATAAGATAAAAAAAGACGTCTTTTTGATGTCGAAAAAAGATGCCGCATAATCGATTGAAAAAAGACGTCTTAAAGACATCGTAAGTAAGACTTTAAAAGACATCTTTTTGACGTCTTTTTTCTCACTGGGAGATACGTAGGCGAAACTAAACTTTAAATTATATAGTACATAGATTACATATTATATTATTAATTACAATAAATAAAATTTATACTATATAAAAATAAATAGAATGAGCAAAAAATTTTTGCTCATAAATATTTTGATGACTACTTCAAGCTTGTAAAAAGGTGAGTTTGACGTTTAGAAGATGTCAGTTTGACTATTGATATTTATAAAATTCACATTATTTACGCTAACACTGCTACGTAATTCATTTCAATTAAAAATTCATTCATATAGTTTTTACTTTAATTTTATCTGCCTTAACATGTTTGAAAACTTAAAAATATAAAATTTCTGGCAAGGAAATGGACAGAAATCGAGCTACAAACCAACAAAAACGAATTTAGTCATCATATATCAAAAGCAATGTATTACTAAGTCAAACAAAGCCAAAAATGCTTTTAGCTTGTGAAAATAGTATATTGTTTTGCCTGTGTGAGTGAATTTTATATATTGAAAAATGATTTGTTTAGAGTTACAAAATTTTCTCATTTTTGTACCAAATCAACAAAAAAATGCAAAGTTTTGATAAATAAAAGGTAAAACCACTACAATTTTTGAAATCCCCGTACATTTAATGGTCTAAATCAGATTTAGTTTTTATTTTAAATTTTTAAAAAATTTTTGGAGTATATCCATTAAATATATAAAAGATGCAGGGAGTGTACATACATCGACTGACTAAATAGGTAGAACAGCGAACAGCCGTGGTGCAGTGGTTGCGTACTTGCCACAGAAACAAAGGATCCGAGGTTCAAACTCCACCTATGTCTAAGTTTTGCGATATTGTTCAGAAACGAGGTGTCAATTAGGTCTATTAAACCACGTGTGAGATATTTTATCTGCTGTTGTCAAAGTTAAAGTGTTTTTTTCTATTTTCACCATTTTTTGAACCAATTTTTTTTGCACATTTCTGCCATTTTTGATAAATGTTGTTGTCGATTGTCTTTAGCACTTCAAATGACAGCTCGCGAAGGATCTTGCAATCTTACATCGTCAGACATTCTTCGACAGCTTTTCTGGTTTATCCGGAGCATGACCATAGATGACCATCTTGATTATGACCATAGACTTTTCCACCATGAAATGTGACAGCTGCATTAATGTATACTTCATTAACCATTATAATGCATGAGCGCTGTCTGTCTTCCAAACTGTGAAATATTTTTAAAATTGAAGATACATTATCAAGTTTATTTGTTCTTGAGGTCAATTTTGTTAAAGATCGTACACTAGGTAGCTGAAAGTCATTTCTTAAACGCTTGTATAATGCTTGAGATACAGCCATATACTCAAAAGCTTCCACAATAATATCTCGTGATTACAAAGGCCGTGGTACTTCTCATCGCAAATAATTCATCTTGTAAAACTTCTTTTTTTAGTCATTTTAACACTGTTTAAAAAACGAACTGTTTTAGATAAAAAAGAAAATTTGTCTATTACTCTTATTCGGTTCTGTGAAAGTGTTGAAATAAAACACTGTGAACCCTTATGAAATGCTGTATACGTTGAATCACTTTTAATTTGAAGAAGAAATCTAAAAGAGTATTATGATTATAAAATTAGTCACATTGTTACAACATAAAGTAGAATGAAATAAAGTCTTTAATTCATAAAAATATAATAATAGTGATATTGTAATAACAATGGTTACAATTATAGTATTATTGTTATTATTATTATTATTATTTTTATTATTATTATTTTTATTATTATTATTATTATTATTTTGTTATATATTTTCATGAAGTTAAGACTTTTTTTGTAATTTTACTTAATGACATGAAAAGCAATGTTTTTCATGTCATATAGTAGAAAAATATATTTTAATATATTCAATACATTATTATAAAAACAAAAAGGTTAGATAATTAGAATGTTCCTCACCGTGGCACACCAATTCCTTGAATGAAATCTTTTGATTGTAAGACAATGTCATCATTACACTTGTAACTTGGTAGTTGTTCAGTTTCAACCTTTATCATAATGTCACTGAATTCAAACTTATCAGCATCATTAAAACTGTTAATTTCATCCTCATGAATATTTCTCACTAATAAACTTGCTTGAGTTGTTTTACGTGGTTTTGCTGGTGCTGTTGAAATTCGACAATAATTAATGTAATGAAATATTGTTGAAGATGCATATGGTCGTTTCATCATCGTATTACCATTAATCATTATCAAATCAACGTTTTCAGGTCAATGTTTAGTGCATACAACAGTATATTTTGAATCGAGGATATTATCTCTTGGAATTTCAATTATCTATTGCAAACGTTCATCTTTGTCTTTAGGTAAACAATAAACATATACGTATTTTTCATTCTTTTTGTCATAGTTAGACGAGCATGAAGTAACACAACACTTTTGAGGCATAGTGCATTTAAAATATGTATTTTTTTAATATCCATACGATTCGCTTTCAAATATCCGCTAAAAAAACAGCCTTCAGTCTCTCCGTTTAATTGCGCGATTGCAAGGTCTGTTATAGATAGCCTTGATTCATCTATATAACTCATATTGCAGTTTCTAAGCTTACATATAGACTTAAGCTATGCAAATTTAGCACCAGTTTTCTAAGCAACATAGATGCTGTTTGAAGAGTTTTAAAATATTATTTTTCGTATCTCAAAATAAAGTAAAAACTACCAGCATCAGATATTTTAATTATTCTCTTTCAAAACAAAGTAAATCTATTTATCAGGCTGTTAAAAAATCAAACTTGCTATTCACTGATATTGAAGCAGTTACTGGAAACACAAATAAACTTTTACAAATAAAGTCATTACTACATGTACTACTCTTGGTTTAAACTTCTTTCATAATGAAAGGGAAAAAAATTTCAATTAACACACTATGGAAGCCAGCGGATGTAGTAAGAGTATTAAGAGAATCAGTTATGGAATTTAAAAAAACAAATAGTGATTTTTGATGGAAGAGAATGTTCCGAAAACCGATTAGGTGTGGAAAACATACTATCTAGTTATAAGTATTTAAGGCTAATAACTTTGAAAGTCGTGTTGTATTACTGGTCGTAATTATATAAAATTACTTAATTTTTGCTTACAAAAAACAAAAGCTATTTATGTTTAAAACGAAAATTTAAAAATTTATGAGAAATTAAGTCATGCAATCTTTACAACTATTAACGTTTTTACAAAGAAAATTAATAAAAGAATAGCTAACGACGTTAATTTTAAAAATTTAAATTTTACAAAAAAAAAAATAGAAATAATAAAAAGAAGCATAATATGTTAAAAACTCACATATATATATATATATATATATATATATATATATATATATATATATATATATATATATATATATATATATATATATATATATATATATATATATATATATATATATATATATATATATATATATGTCAAGTTATGAAAACAGACCAAAACAATAAAAATATTTTGATTGTACTCGCCGATTGTTTTCACAGTAAAAAGATTGTTAAAATAGCATTTCGCAAAGAAAAAAATAGCAATTTCGCAAAGAATTGTTAAAATACTTCAAGTTTTACAAGAATTATAGTTAAAAATGGCTTTTTTTAAGGCACCTCGACCAATTGAAAAATGTTTACTGTCAGTCAATTCACCTGGTTTTGTAACAGTTTGCGTAACTTTAGAACTAGATTGCACAACGATTGTTGAATTGGGGTTGCTTACATGTTTTGAAGAAGAAGAAAAAAAAGATTCTTTAGTTTGAGCGGAACAATCTGATTCACTCTTTTTTCGACTATCTTGATATGAATAAAAATTTTCCATTATTAATTTAGAATCATATTTTCTTGAACTATCGATCGAAAAAGGTCTTTGATAAATATTGTTTATTTCATCTCTTGTCATGTGTTCTATTGGTGAAGGTTTTTTATAATGAAAAAAATCACTGGTTTGCATTCCATTTGAATTGTTGATATCTGATGATCTTTTATATAAAATATCATTTTCCTTTCCTAAAAGCGCAACTTTTTTTTCTAAAGGATTCATATCATTTTTTTTTTCAACTGTTTTTAAGTTGTGAAGATAAGAATTTTTTTCATACAAACAACCGTCGCTTTTTTCTTTTGTTTGCAAGTCATCCATTGTTAAACATTCTAGCGAATACCTATAAGAGAAATAAGTAATAGTGAACAGTAAGAGAAAGTACACGTTTAAAACGTATTTTATATGTATAAGCAAATTTAAATAAGAAATTTAAAAACAATTACCACCTTATATAAAAATCAAGATTTTAATTTTTAACAAATAGTGAAATAATTCATTTTGTCATGGTTTTTCTATAAACTTTTTTTTATTTGAAATGTTTTTTGTCAAAAATAATTGATATTTTTAATAATTGATTATACTTCTTTTAAGACCCAATTCAATAACTTTTGAAAAAAAAACATTTTTTAGATACATAGGATTTTGTTAATTAGGGCAATCAACCCCTGAAATAATTTATACTTAAATAAATTTAAAAATAAGGAAAATATCTAAATAATCTACACAAAAAATTTGGACAATAAATGTTTTAATAACTCCCCTAACCTTAACCCTGACCCTTACAAATAAAAATAGCTAACAAAAAACGAGTAAAAATTTATTAATTCATAGAAAATAGCATAAAATAATAAAAAAATCTACTTTTTAAATAAAAACAATAATGTAATAAGAAAATATGAGTAAGTTTGCTATTCTAAACAAACTGTTAAATGATAAAAGAACATAAATTAGCTTTTATTCATGTATTTCATTCACATTTTATACTTCTAAATTTTAATTATTAAAGTAATTATACGCATAAGGTGAACGTAACTGGACGGGTCAGTTGATCACCTATATGCAATCATTGTGTTGCATAAACAATTACATAAAGAACATATTAATTACAATTATATACTTAAGTTAACATAAAATATTTTCAGTATTTAAAACATCGTCTTATCATCAACATGTAACGACATGTAACGACATGTAAACGGTTAGCACGGTTCCTGATAATGCCAACCTAGCTGACTCAAGAACGCCAATTATAAGGGGTGATATAAACCGTAAGATATGATTTTCTGCTGCCTAACCTAATAAATCATATCTTACGGTTTATAATACTATAATCCGTAAGGTATGATTTTCAGCTGCCTAACCTAATAAATCGAACTATGGTAGCAGTTCTTTGAAGATGTTTATTATTTGAATCAGTTATGCAACATAACAACAGCATAGCAACAACCTTTCTTTGTACTCTAGATGATTATTGTTTAGTTTATACCTGGATCAATGTTTATAAAAGTCTTGATGAGCAGTTTCTACAATTTGTTCACTATAGGTCCTCTTTGCGACTGATGAAATCTTTGATGTGGTAGAAGACTGTAAATTTTGGGTGTTGCCCTTGCACAGTTATCATTTAGTAACACCTTTTGAAATTTTAATTATTTCATCAAAATCAAAATCAAAAGCAATTTTACAACTAAATTGAAAATTTTGAATGCTTCAATTATGTAAAGAATGTTGGGAACCAAATTTGTATTAGCAAGTTGCTGGAGCACATCCACATTTTTAAGAAGCTTCCTGCATTCATTTCTCTTGAACTAGCCCACGTAATACAGGCTCAGAAAAATGTGGAGGGCAGTTGGCCACGCAGTTTTAAATCTTGAAAAGATGATTTACAACTTCTATAAAAAGATGCAATTACATCGGTAGGATTATTTCCAAAATCAGAACATTGTCAGGCCTGAAAAGAATAAAGGCTAGATTTAATTGAACCCAGTGTTGGCAAGTTTCCAGATTCGGCAAAAAACTTGGAGTTGGTGTCACCCCATATACAAGAGTGCATACTTGAACGGGTTTGAAGACCACAAATTTTGTTTGCAACTTTCATATCGCAAACCTAAATTAGTTGAACTCCATTTGAATTAATCTTTGAATTTGAATTAAAGTGACCTTATTTGTTTAATGTTGGAGTGAGTTTCTGGCAAATCTTCTGATATTTCAACAAGAATTTGTCTCTTAACTCAATTGTCTATGTGAGTCCTTTTACAGAGGCATTGAGCTGGTATCAACCTTTAACACAGTATCAACAATGCTCAGACAAAACTTGATAAAACCTTTACCACCACCAATTCCAAGTTGAAAAAAATATTCACCAGAAATTTTGCAAGATTGAATAAAATGATTCACAAGACTTGATAAATTATTGCAGTGAGCAACAACCTGAATTGTACCAGAATCTTCTTTTCCATCAGTAATTTTTATTGACAGAAAAGAAATCACTGCAGGTGAAGAAATCACTCAAATGTTGATTTGCTCTTAAAAAATTATTATAAAAATTTGGCTCAACCATCTCGCTGCTTGATGTTTAATTTAGCGATGATAGTCCTGTATTTAATTGCACATTTACAAGAGGGATCAATTATGAAGCGCTTGATAGTGTCTGGGCACTACTTTGACCAGAAACCAAAACAGACATACTTTATCTTTATATTAAACTTTGTTCAGAAAGTTTATTTAAAACTTAAATTATTTGTTGTTGTTTTTTTTGACATCACTTCCGAAAAGGCTGCAAGCAACCACTATTAGAGTTGGAAGTTACTGGAAAAGAAAAGATGAAGTTTATAGAGCAAGATTACGATTGACAGATGACTTAAAAGATTATATGAATTAGAAAAGCAAGATAAAGGAAGCAAATTTTAAGGAACTGATGTTTGAGTTCTGTTTCTAAGTGCTCCAAAAATTCTTATTTGTCTAGTTTTTTTCAAACGGATGTTCGAAAAAAACTAGACAAATAAGAGTTTTACCCTAACCAAAAACCACAGAAATAATATTTAGTTGCAAAAAACCGGCCAGATTTTTTAGTCGTTTTGAAAACATTTAAATTTATGTATATTTCCTTAATTAAGTTCATTATTTTATCGTAAATTTAAAAATATTTTGTTTTACGGACATACATGGAAACATACATAAACTCGAATGTTCTCAAACATATTTGTGGGGAAAAATAAAAAAAGAGTATTTACAAACACAAAAAACCTGCCAAATCTACGAACAACTAATTCTATTGGTTCACAAAATACTAACTGAAATTTTTAGAATAATCTGTTAAAATATTTTAAAAAACTGTATTATTTGAGTTTTGTTATGTTTTCGTTGAGAATAAATTGTTTTAAGAATATCAAACGAGCTATTATTTTAATTCTCGGAGCCACATCTACAAAGCTATAAATGTTTTAAACTAACAATTATTTACAAAAATAAATGTTTTAAATTTATCTTTTTTAACTTGTCAACGTTTTGTAAATATATTATAGACTTTATAGTATATTCTTATTTTTTATATAAGGGATGTATTTTTTATGTAATGATTTTATGTATGTATTTTTTGTGCATGTAATTTTATGTATGTGTATTTTATTCAAATGTAATCTTTTAAAGCAATTTTGTGCAATTGATTTTGTAAACAAAAATACTTTCAATAATAACTGCGTTTTTAATGAAATTATTAATAATCATCAAAGTTAATACAAATAATTTTAACCACTAATCCATTTTCCTCAGTGTACCCCATAACTGATTCTTTCCATCAAGAAAGAAAAGTTTTTAAGTTCTTAGAAATTGGTTTACTAACTTTAATTATTTTTGCTTGAGCCATTCTTACAAACTCGTTATACTTATAATTAAAGTTACTTTTTTCTGTTTTAAATTAAAATCATAAAGCCCACTCACTAAACATTGTCAGCGTTATTGTGAAGCAGATCCGCTTCCTCCTCACATAGTACTTTAACGTTTTTAGTTAATTTCTATTTAGCTAATCGAATTTCTACAGTAACTCAATGATTTAATTATTTCATTTGTTCATTTTACTAAGAAAAATTTTTTCAAATGTGTTAAATTTTTCAAACTATGTGAAGCATAAAACATTTATTGAAAATACTTTATTATTAATAAATAAATCATCTAGCGTTAGTTTTATTGGTTGAATCTTGTTGGACTTTTCAGGGCCGGGGACTGCATTATTTTAGCGGCCTTCTACTCCCTCCCCCCCCCCTCCTCAATCCAGCATTGGAAATAAGACATAAGTATATAAATAAAAATTATATATACTTTTTGATAAATCAAAGAACATTTGTTTCCTTATTAAACAACCATTAATAGTAAATTGTTACTTTATACAAAAAATGTCACTTAATTTTATTATAAAAATTATTAAAGAGCGACGTTTTAAAAATATTTGCTCTAATCGTATTTATTTTGCCTAAAGTTTTTTCGCGTTAAAAGCTTTTTTTAACTGTCTCTCATCGGTCCAATTAATCTTAATGCGCTTTTTTGTTTGTTTTTAAAATGTTCTCAAAACGATTTAAAAATCTGGCTGGTTTTTCGCAACCCGCTTTGACCAAGCCTGCAAATGTAATGTTAAGAGGCAGATTTAACCATCGCAAAATAACAGCAATGACAGAGCATTAAACCACTGAGCTATAGAAGCTATGTATTTATTAGAAAAACAAACCATTTTATAAATCTCTTACATCTTTTAGATCAATGTCGACCCTAATTCAAAGGGTTGATATATATATATATATATATATATATATATATATATATATATATATATATATATATATATATATATATACATATATATATATAAATATATATATATATTTATATTTGTATATATATATATTTAAATATATATAACGACACTGATAACAGCAAATTAAACCACAGAGCCATTGAAAATAAACGTTTAGGAGAAAAACAAATCATTTTATAATTTATAGCAAGCTAAGGACAAAATAACAAAAATAAAAACAAATTTGTAAGAGTAAAAAAAGATAAACATAGGGCTATTTAAAGAAAACAGTTTACAATAAAATAATAAAAAATAAACAAAAAAAAAAAGATACACAATACAAAATTAAAATTACAAAAAAAACTATTTGAAAAACATCTAAGGAGAGGGGGGGGGGGGTTGTAATGGACCTGCCTTTGATTACTAATTTTGCATTTAATTAAATTTTTTTAGTTTAAAATCGCCATGCATGCTTTATTTTTATGAGAAATCATAAGAAAAAGTAAATTTTAAGAAAACTTCATTTTTTTTACCTGAGCTGAGAGTTGAGCAGAGTCACCTCACGATCTGTGACTAACTGGTGCGACATGACATCTTTGTTTAACTGTGACTCAGATTGTTTTTGTGTCCAATTAAGTTGAGTTTGTGACGAATCTAGCCAAGTTTGTGTTAAATTTTCTTGTGTTGAAATTTTATTTAAAATCTGTAAACTATAGCAAGTTTGTGTTGAATCAATTTCTAAAAAAAAAAAAAATTAAAGATTTAAAATATTTTAAATATTTTAAAAAAACTAAAGGGCTCTGCAATAATCTTTTAAACTTACCTTCATCCCAGTCCTCTTCTCCTGCGCAACTTACAATTTGCTTTGATTTAGGCATACTAAGATTCCCACAGAAAGATTGTAACTTTTGAGAGTTGGGAATAGCAACTAAAAAAGATTGTAACATTTGAGAGTTAGGAACTAATTTGAGAGTTAGTAACTAAAAAATTATGACATGAAGTGTTTTTATATCAATTACAAATTACATGTAGTAATTACATGCAAATTACATTACATAGTTAATGTGTTTTTATAATTTAACATCAGTAAAAAAAAAAACAACAACAATAAAGCACTAACAACAACATCTATAATGAATATAAATATAAAAAGTAATTTAACTAACAACAACAACTACAACATCTATAATGAATATAAATATAAAAAGTAATTTATAATAAGAAATATAAAAAATAATTTATAATAAGAAATATAATCAAATATCTTAACTAAACTTATAACAGTTTTGAACTTAATAAACAAATTATTTAAAACTATTTGATATTGGTATTTTTAATTTTTATTTTTAGATTTAAAAATTATTTCTGGTCTATATGTAAAATTACAATAAACTCATAAAAAAACTATTTAAATTAAATATTAAAAAAATGACCATTGTTAGCTTTTTGTTTTGTGAAATAAATTGTGTTTACAAATGATCTGCATGTAGTGTACACAAATAACCTTCAAAAAGTTTTTTTTTTTTAATTCATCAGTGTAAAAAATTCTTTTAACCTTTAATAATATCTAAATAAGAAAACAACATTATGATAATTGTTTAAACCAAACAAATGAATCATGGGCGTTACACTTGAAAGAAATAAAAAATGAAAAAAAAGTAAATGATTTTCTTGAATCAAAGCAGTTTTTTATTTTATATAACATTTCCTTTTTTGTTAGTAAGTATTATGAGTAAAAGATGAACTTAAATTAGAAAGTTCAGTTAAGAGGTTTATAGTCAATTATTTTTCCGTGCCAGAACTATTGCAAAATGTTTGTTTGCAATAGCTATGGTTGTTATGGTTACATATTAAACAGTATAACTTAATTAAACAGTAAAACAAAATTTAAAAAAAATGAAATTATGGACACAGAAGTTGACACATGTAGAGGTTTTTAGAACTCAACCCACAGAGCTAACAGACAAGCAAAAAATATTGCAAGAGACTAAGATATAGGCTTCAATAGAAATAAATAAGGAAGAACACACTATTACTGGGGAATTATACCAAAATTAATCTGAGGTACTTGTTTTTGTTAAATTTTTGATTAAGATAGTATTATTGGTTTTGTGGTCATCAATGTTGTACGGTCAAACAGGGTGTACTATTGTGTGTGCAATTGATCAGCACTGTTGTGCTTCCAGTCTCTACACTAATGATCTCCAATATTACTATAAAAAATTATTAAACAAAATAATAAATTTATGACTTACGTTTAATTATGTTGTTTTCTACTGGAGGCTAAAAGATTAAAATTAAAAGATTTAAATTACATCAAATAACACTTGGTTTAAATATATATATATATATATATATATATATATATATATATATATATATATATATATATATATATATATATATATATATATATATATATATATATATATATATATATATATATATATATATATATATATATATATATATATATATATATATATATATTGGCAACTCATACAATTATATATATATATTGGCATCTCATCATTTTACGAAACATGTCAAGAACAAAAAACATCGTGTTATTTTAAAAATAACACAATGTTTTTTTATTCTTGACATGTTTTGTATAATTTATATTAATATTTTTTCAAAATATTATTTTACAATAAAAAAACTCAAATATTAAATAAAACTCTATAAAAAAATAAATATTAAATAATAGAAGTCTTTACAGAGAAATATAAGGGTTAAAAATTATACATAAAACAATTTATTTATTACAAATAATAACCAACTGTCAAAACAAAAAAAAATAAACTGACAGTAAAATTAAAAAGATAAGTTTATAGCATAATGTAAAGTTTGTTTATTAAGTGAGATACTTTCCCATTTAATGTGGAGGGTTTCTTTTATCTTTAATTTGTGTTTGGTTGGGGCATTATCCAAAATCTCAAAAGAATCACAGTTAGTCAGATTTTTGCAATTAACAGATAAATTTAAGTGTTTAAATATATGAAATTATTTATCACTAATAATTAAGGTGCTCATTTATTCTAGTTGCCAAATGTCTGAAGGTTTCTCCAATATAACTGGCATTACAGCCAGTGCAAGAAAATTTATAGACAACATGAGATTTAAGAAAGTTAGAAAGTGACTCTTTTAAGCAAAAACAATCTTGTATTTTATTAGTAGTGAAAATTAATTTTATTAAAATATCCTTGCAGTATTTATGAAGAATTTTTGAAATTTTCATTTTAGTATATATATATCATTTTAGTATATCTTATATTTAAGCTATTAACAATGTTAGAAACAGATGGGTTCATTTTCTTATCAATATAGGATTTAATTTCTGAGTCAATAATTTTTTGTTGAAATTTATTATTTTGTAAAACTAATGATAGATTCTTAATATCTTTATCAAAACCAACCCAAGTATTATTAATTTTAAATGTACAATCAAACAACGAACAAGTCCAAATTTGTAGCAAGAGGGAATAAAATTTAAAAAAAAAAACATAAAAGACCTGTATACTCTTTTTTGTTATAAACTTTACTTGAAAAGGAATTGGATTTTTTAATAAGTACATCTAATAAGGTAATCTGGTTATCTTGTTTGTTGGTTTGTTGTTTATTGAGGTGCTTGAAAAATTCTTGAGCTTCAGAAATAAAAATAGCAATTATGTCATCCACATACTGTTTATTAAAAAAAATGATACTGTAAAGGAGCAGTTCTTGAAATATGACAAAAATATTAGCTAAGATAGGCACTAAAGGAGAACCCATAGCAACACCATCTGTTTGATCATAGTATTTTCCATCAAATAGGAAATGTGAAGCGAATGTGGAAATCTGAAGTAATTTTTTAAAGTAAATTTTTGAACGGATTGAAGATTTTATTTTGGCCAGACAACCTATCATTTAAGAAAAAATAACTTTGAAACTTTTTCTGGTAATTAATGTGCTGCTATTTATTTATAAATTTCATGGTGTATATATGTATAAAATACATTTTAATTTTATTTTCTTTATTTTTATCTTAATGCAATGTGTATATGGATTTACCAATAGACCGTGACATAGAGCCCTGCAACTTTAAGACCCTCAAAATATATAAATCTTTTTTTTTTTTACTGACAATATTTGGAATCAGTATATATTAGTAAACATTTTATTCTTTTACAGTTGAAAGAAATTGATGCATAAACCTGTTGTCTTCAGTTAATTATTTTCAGATAACTCAATCTCAAAAGATTCAAAAGTGAGATTCTGGAGAATTTTGAAAATCTTCGAAAGTTCAATAACAAACTTAGATTTTATAACTCCAAGGAGAACTCAGAACTATTTGCAAGGTGCCTTTCCTCTAACTTGTCTTTTTAATAACTTACTCTCCCTGTCAACTCAGAAAACTATTGTTTACCCTTTGTTAGATTCCAATTAACTTGGACTCCCATTACTTAAGTTATTTCTCATCTAAACTCTTCATCAGCTGAAGCTGTGTGTGTGGTTGTGGTCCAGATTCCTGTCACAGTTTTATAAAAATAATAAAAACCAAAAAACTCTTTAATTCATTCTAAATTATTTAACAAGTACTCAACTGAATTGTGTTTTTTTTTCCTGCTGAAAAATTACACTGAAAAATTACACAGTTCCATGTTTTAAAAACTCTGGAAATTGCTCTAATTATTTTCCTAATTAATTTTCTAACTGATTATTTCTCTCAATGAGTTCTCTACTATTCATATCTCAACTCATTATCTTTTTTTTTCATTACCTCTACTTCTTTTCTTCATACCTCTACTATCTTTGACTAATAACATCATGGAAACAGTATAATCAAGTAATATAAAATAAACCAATAAAAAGTTATACTAAAGCTATACTAAAGTTATTTGCACATTGTATAAAATATCGATTTTCGTTTAGGGTGAAAGTTTAAGGAGTTACTTCTTCAAAAATTTAAATGTTTTAAATTAGATTTTAATTGATAATAAAAATAATAATAATAAAGATTTAATAAAATAAGTCATTGATAATAAAAAAAAATAATAATAAAGATTTTCAAAAGAAGTCATTGATAATAAAAATAATGATAATAAAGTTTTTCAAAAGAAGTCAATGATAATAAAAATAATAATAATAAAGATTTTTTAAATAAGTCATTGATAATAAAAATAATAATAATAAAGATTTTCAAAATAAGTCATTGATAATAAAAATAATAATAATAAAGATTTTCAAAATAAGTCATTGATAATAAAAATAATAATAATAAAGATTTTCAAAATAAGTCATTGATAATAATAATAATAATAATAATAATAATAATAAAGATTTTCAAAATAAGTCATTGATAATAATAATAATAATAATAATAATAATAATAATAATAATAATAATAATAATAATAATAGTAATAATAATAAAGATTTTCAAAATAAATCATTAGAGTTCTTTTGTTTTGTTTTAAAATAACTATAAAAAGTTGAAATTCGTTTTTTATTTTTAAACTAAAAGAGTTATGAGCATGCATAAGAAAATATTGAACAAGATTTAAAAGCATTTTTCATCTTATTTAATGATTCCGATGTATTGCGGTGATTAAATATTTTATATATTATTCAAAATATTTAATCACCGCTAAGTTCCCTTAGACTATTGTTATTAGCAGTTGTTTTTTAATAAGTACATTGTACTTTATTGTGCTCTATTTTCCTAGTTTTATCTGATGGTTTATAAAATGAATTACAATAGTTTAAATCATAATCATTAATAATCATTAATAAAAACAAAAATAATAGAATTAAAATAGTTTTACAATAAGATTTTATATCATTTCAAGATCAATATAAATATTTTTTATTGAATAACAGCTATTGAGTTTAGTGATAAAGTGTGTACATACATCATTTTATTTCAGAGGTTATATTAAAATACTTCTAATTGTGTCCATATTTTGTTGGCAATATGTTTTTGTTTTGAAGCATAACGACATAACGTGTAACAATTTTTAAAAGTTTTAGTTTACTCATTTAACTTAAAATAAGTTTTAAAAATGACAAAAGCAGAAGACGTTAGAAAAAATATTTTGCACAAATCTTATGGAAAATCTGAATAGAAGCTACAATTCAGTTACATAAAAGTTGCAAATCCCTGCACCATAAGTCACGTTATTTCATATAATATCATATCATATATATATTCTGAAAAATAATTTCATATATAATTAGTAATAATTATAAAAATAATAATTATTATAAAAAAAATAATATTTATAGTAATAAACATAAGAACTACAATAATAATAAAAAAACAATAACAATAACAATTATAATATTAAGTTAAAAAAATAATCAAATAATAAGTCACTTGTTTTTATAAACACAATAGCTAAATATACATATAAGTTAGTTACCAACAATTGACTGATAAAATGTAACAACTAATAAGAACATAAAACATTTATTTAAATTGAAAATAATAAAATATGAATAATAATAGTAAAGATAAAAATAGTAATAATTGTGGCTACGATAAATATTCAGAAATAAAAGAAATAAAATCATAACAAAAAAAATGATATAAATTAAAGATCAAATAAAGAAAAACAAAAAAGTATTAAGAAAAATGAGAAAGCTTAATATTGTTATATTTGTTACATGCACACACAAACACAAATATAAAGATATATACACATACTTACCCACATGCATAGATACACACATATTTGCACATAAATACACACGCTTGCGTACATACACTCAAATAGCTATATATACATACACATATAGATACATATACATATACAGCTTTAAAAATATATACATTTTTTAAAATGTCCAACTAACATAAAATCAAAAACATTTAAATTAAAAAACATATGATGCAAACAATACACTAAATTATATAACAAAATGAATTATACTCTACAATGCTCAATTAATAATACACAAGAATACAAAAACAAAAAACAACAACAACAACAAAAAAGACAAACGTCCCTCAAAATTAATAAAATTTAAAAAATATTCTTTTACGTTTCTTCAAAAATTTTTATATTTTATTTTAATTGCTTTTAATTACTTTTTATTTAACTTAATTTTTTTTCTTTTAACTTTGGATTTTTGTCTTTTCTTTTCTCGTTTTTTTTTTTTTTTTTTTTTTGTTAGTTTGTTTGATTTGGCTTTTTATTTGTTTTTTGGTTTTTTATTTCCTTCTTTTTCTTTTCTTCACTCTCTTTATATTTATTTTTCTTATTTTATTATTTTTTCTGTCTTTTTTTTTTTTTTTTTTTT